TGCCCCAACCTTGGCAGGTGGGAGCATCAGGCCTGAGGAGTAGCGTATCCATCTCTGGCACAGTCGGTGCTAATTTTTCCTTTCTCTTTCCCTTCATCCACCCCAGCATTTGTAAAAGGTGCTGTGCTTTTTAAGATGTGGTACTTCCACACAGTGACTGGCAGGTGGTGCTCTCACTACTCTCTTCCCACAGTGTGTTAGTGTCTGGGGAAGGAGCTTTTAAAGACTGTATTTTCGAGATGTGAGAAAGGGGTAGGTGGTGGAAAAAGAGCTCAGGGGCCATCCTGTCCCTCGTAGTGATTATGCCATGGGGACTTCTAACTGATCCTTATGGCAGGAACAGGATGTTGTTCTCGCAGCCTGGTGAGCACAAACATCTTTCATCAGATCAGCTTGAAGGCCAATGCTTCAAAGGTGACCAGTGATTCTGAATGTGTGGGTGCCCAGCTTCAGATGCCTTAAGGGGGCCTGATTTCAGGAAATGCAGAAGTGCCCATCCTGTCAAAATGGGGCCTTCTCCAGGTGCTTCAAGGTGAACCCCCAAAATCTTGTCATTACAATCCAGCACAACAGAAACTTGCATATTAACAGTTTCCCCTAGCCCTGAAAGTTTTCCTCCCCTTGAGTTAACTCTTAAAGTTTAGAAGCTTCCTGTATCTGGCAGGATTTCTCTCTGCAGAGAAAACCAACGCTTACATTGCTTATCTTTGCCAGCCTTTTGGACAGAATCCCCTAGTGACACAGCAGGGATAGGCTCCAGGGCTGTTTTATGGGGGTTGTACATTTCCATGGGAATGCATGCAGTGGTTGGAAAGAACAGGAATTGCATTAAGGCAAACTCATTAGGATAAAGAAACCTTGCCTTTCTCCTACAAAACATAATGAATGTTTAAAGGCTGAAGTTGACATACAGCCAAGTATGAACCTAGAGACAGGCCAAAGCTGTTAAAAGCAGGAACTCTTGCTTGCACTGGGACTGGGTTTCCATACTCTTCTTGAGCTGGTCCAGTTCACTTTGGATCTCTCTTGATGTCTCCATCACTGCTTGCAAGGCTGACAACTTTAGGGCTGGAGTAGGTGCTGCTGACATGCAAATGCCCTGGCATACACATGCACCCTTGCCTCAGTGTCTTGGATATCTAGAGCCTCCAGTTTTTTCACCACTGCCATCTCAGTGCCTAGCTTTATGGCATCATTCAGGCTTACCCAACTGAAGCTGGACCTGGTTCTCCCCACTGAAGGCATTGCTGATGAACAGATAATGGGCCAGCAGGTCCTGCATCTCAGGGCTGGCTTGTGCAAAGGACTTTACAGCTAATCGTTTTAAGGCAGTGCCGAACTCTTGCACTGGTTCTATGGAAGTCTTCTTACAATTAAAGAAGGCTGCATGGTCCCAGTCAGGACCTGCACCTGGTTCCAAAGCATTGCTGAGGTCCCCTGTTATGTGCTTGTAATCCTATTTGGCTTCACTGCTGAGCCCACGGTAGGCCCATGGTTTGGCCTTCCCTGTAAGCAACAGGCTTAGAAATTTTAGCTTAGTATCCTCATTTCACCCACTTAATTCAGCTGCCACTTCAAATTGTTCATTCCAGTCACCCCATTCTTGTTGCTCCCCACAGTAGGGTGCTGGATTGAATATAGGCCTTAACACTAGGTGGGGTGCATGTATTTTCCTCTTCCATTGGGGGTAACCCCTCCTCTGCGGTACTTGTCTTCTGTGATTAAATGCCCATACAACAGACAAAATCTGTACACTCACTGCACCAGTTTGCCCCGTGCCTTATGGCCTGTGACCACCAATCTCTATTTGCCTCACCTGTGGGATAGCCCCCCCTCTTTCAGAATCCCATGGCTGCCACCAATTTGTGCCATCTTTGCAGCCCCAGAAACTGGCACAAAAAGCAAGGGGGAGTTCCCACTTTTATACAGAGAATCATTGGGTTTAGCATCACAAGCCAATGGGTCAAAGGGAGAGGGACCAGGTAAAAGATAAGGAAATATCAACACTGTGGTAACGTACACTTAACACCTTAATCTCCCCCCACACCTTTCAGGGATGTCCCCAAACAAGGCTTTACTCCCTAGAGCCTTCCCTGTACCTTCCCCTAAGTCTGTGTCTGGCTCCTTTAGTCCACAGTCCTGGCTGACTGAGCCAGTGCGATCTCCAGCTCTACTGTACACTCCTCTGTAAGGCCGAACAGGCTCCATGTGCACGCTGCTCTCTCTTCCCCTTACTCTAGCTTCAAGCTTGCTCTTCCTTTTTGCCTTGCCCCCCAGCCCTTGGGGGGGTCCTGGGAATTGTAATCCAAATTAACAGTCAGCACAGGCCTGCAGACTGCCTCTTGGTTCCTCCTGCTGTTACACACATCGCATTCACATTACAACTGATATCAGATAAGCAATAAGATTGGGGGTCACTGATCAGGGGATCAGGGCTAACTATTAGGCAGACAGCAAGGTCAGGGGCTGGTGGGTCATGGACTGACGGTGAGCAGACTGGTGCCGATTCCTTGCACGTTTCATAAATGACTGGCTTTCTGTATAGGCATCGGGGTAGACTAGCCAATGAGGCAATGGGCGTGTGGGGATGAGTCATGTAACTGCAGGTGAGGGTGAGTCATCAGAGATGGCACCCCTGTGACTTCCATTCAGTCCTCAGCATGATCTAATTGCTCTTCAGATTGGTCTTCTCTTGATGGGCTTCGGGAAGAGACTATATATCAGTGTGATGCAGCTAAGTCTGACGAGCAGCTCATTTGTGTAGGACTCTGGAAGCGAATCAAATGCAGCGGAGGATCACTGTCATGTCTGAGGATCTGAAAAGCAGTGTAGCCTTTTAAAACAATTATTTTTTGTTCTTTAAAAGAAAAAAATCCGTGTCATGCGCTATTCTTTGTCAGTAGCAGAGTGCAGTGCAGCACATGGAAGGCTTGCAAATGGCAATGTCAGTCTAGGCACCCTGATTTTTTAAATACAATGTGGAAGGAGGACATCCAAAAACAAAGCAAAGAAAACATACAGAAACTATCAAAGCAAGAATGCATTCAAAAGTTGGGCTTCTTCCTCTTCTAAGTAGGCTCCTTTCCACATTTATCCAGCCTGTTTACTGTTTGAATGAACCAAATGAGACTGTAATCGCATCCAGTAGGAGGATAGAGCAGAACAGTGTTGAAGAATTGCTAAGGCAAAACCCCTGATCCTGTGATAAGTGCTATATATGAGTTTTTTTCTCTGGTATGGCTTGCCTTTTTTTATCTGAGCTGGCCTGCTCTGTCTTGCTGCCAAGGCAGTAATTAGCTTGCTTTGAACTCAGCACACTCACGTAATAAAGCATCCTCATGGCAAACTCCGGATTTGTCTGAAACTTTTGCTTTTAACATAAGCCTTGGGCTGCGTGACTCAACTGCACCTTCAAGTGCACAAGCATTAGTGTCTTGCCTGCTGATGACACCTGCGGGACAGTTTATGATAGATTGAACTGAGTTTTACATACACAATAAACTAGGGAGATCTTGTGTTTTGCAGACTGTCAGCAATTCAAAAATGCATTGGTATTTCTGACCGCCATTTATCACTTGGGTGCCTTTTTTTACATGCTTACCCTTTTAGCAACCAGTTCTGAGGTGACAGTGTTACAACCTCTTTTGATCTGCATTTAAATACTCCTGAATCCTTTTTTGAAACCCTCCTAATATGTTACTTCAGCTGGTGTAAAGCGGTATAGGTAGGGGAGTGGTGCCATCTTGCAGCAGAAGAGCATCTGCCTCTATGAGAGAAGACTCAAAATAATTAAAGAAAAATGGTGAAGCCATCAGAAGTAGCTTGCCTGAATAGTATGACCCAAGTGATGCTTGTCTTCCTTCACTTCATCTCTTCCTACTATTTGTCATCCTTGCTCATCCTGTAATGCCTAAAATTGGGCTCCTATCCTTACAGGCAAATATGAATCAGTGGGACTTCTCCTGGACATCTGTTAGCAGCCTAAGTTGCAGGTTGAGGCTTCTAACTGTATACTGTTCAGAGGCTGTGTCTAATTGGGCTGGAAAATAGCACAGTTTTTGTACTCTGTGAAAATATTAATGGAAGCAAATTGTCACAGCTTTAAGGCTTGAAAACTAGGAAACTAATTCTTACTTTAGATGGGAATCATCAGGTAAGATGATCAGCTGTGCATATGCCTATTCCCATGCCTATGCCTCCTTTCTCCCATTGGGTTTGTATGTCCTCTACCAGTGACACACACAGCATCCTGGCTAAGTACAGGCAGTCAAAAAGCCCAAGGCTGAATTGATTCAACCTTCGCAACTTATTCTAAGCTGCATAGGTTGAACTGATATGCAAGTGAACAGGGATTCATTTTTGATTCTGGAAATGCAGCCACATGCCTGCAGTGGCCCAGGTCAGAAGCTGGGGGGCACTAGAGCATGCATCCCAGGTGAGCAGGAGCAGGCAGCTTGGGCTAAGGCTAGCCCACCCTACAAGGGCAGGGGGTTGCAGGGGAGGTGCAAAGCATCTTGGGATGCTGGGGGACTCTAAGTTAACTTGAATCTGGATCTGGGACAGAAGTTCAATAAACCAACTAAATCTAAATCAGTTAAGTCTGATACTACACCCATCCAGATTTGTCTTAAACCGGTTTTGGCCATTTTGAAAGTGGTTTATAGGCACTGAATTTCTGTTGTGTTACAGCTTTGAACTGGTTTCTGATCACTTTTACTGGTTTACATGTAACTTCTGTCCCTAGTCCATGAGAACAGGTCTTGCTGCCTGAGAACATGTCTACTTGGCAACTTCAGAAGGCTCCTTACTTTTCCATGTTAACCTCTCATGAGTGTCATGTGTCCTATCAAATGCATGCAGCTTGGTCCAAATAGTCAAATAAACCAAATATATCATGGTTTTGGTAGTGAACTCACTGAGTGGACACAGAGATATGTTGTAGGTTTAAATCTGTTTTGCTGGATCTTTCTCAGAATTGTTTTTTGGTTTCTATCCCTCAGAGGGTGAGGAAGAGGAGGAGGATGAGGAAGAAGAGGAGGAGGAAGAAGAGGAAGAGGAAGACAAAGATATAGACTCAATGGATGAGAGCATGGAAGGGGATACTGAATTGCCAGGGTTCACACTTCCTGGTGAGCCCTCCCAAGAACCCCTCACTGGGCTGGGCAACCCTGAAGCACAGCTGGCTGGGGTATCTTACCAAGTTCCAGACACCATCGAATGGGAACAGCAAAACCAGGGCCTTGGTAAGAGAAAGTTTCTTCTATCCTTTGAGTAGGTGGGCTGTCTCCTGAGCTCTTCCAGTAGATCTGGAGTAACCTGTCTTCACTGGATGTGCTCCAGGTTCATACCTCTGTGTGTGTGGGGCAGAATCTGGCTCTGCATCCCCAGTTGCACAGCATCCCATCTGGGGAGAGCCCATGCACCATGTTTGCTCCTCTTCTGTTTCCAGGGTCTGGTCTTGCATTGCTCTGCCAGCACTCTAGCAGGCCAATTGCAAATGCAGCAAGCTGGTTTTTAAGAGAAGCTTCTTTCGTCAAGGAAAGGTTCAGGGTTGTAAGGCTCATGGATTAGGGGAGGGCAATAGTTAATCAAGCATTTTGCCACTGCTCCTGTTTCAAATGCTGAATTCTTTTAGGTGCTAGCTTCTTGGCATTTCCTGAGCACATAGGGCTCAGGATACGTGGGGCTGCCTGGGAGGCGTGAAGTTCTGTTGCATTAAACAAAGCTAGGGATGGGTAAAAAACAAGGCCCGTGCTCAATTACATTCAATTGATACCCCTGTTACCTTCAAACCCTAGATTTCACGAGGTACCCCACCTGGAAAATCCAGTAGCTGATGAGGTTTGTACAGCTAAGGGCCCTGTGATGTGACCAGGACCAGGTATAGGACAGGGTGCTTTTTAGAAAGAACAAGATCCCCAAAGGTGGATATAGGCCAGTGTCATTTTTCTATGTACGAAGGGCCTACTGACTCCCAACAATACCTGTGGGACTCCTGCTTGTACAGAACACTTCAGTTTGGGACCATTAAGCATCTACCCATACCAATGAGCCCTTCAGACGAAGCATTCTCCAGTCCTTTTGTCATCAGTTTCTTGTACAGGTTCTGTTCTAATAAGCTGCACTTCCCCGGGGTGTTCAGTTCCTTTGTGTTGCGCCAGTTCTTTTCCCTGTAAGTCCATGTACCCAACCTGCACTAGTATTGTTGGTATCCTCTGAAGCAAATCAAAGGGTATTTTTCAAGCTCCTCGATTGCAAGGCTGTTCTTTTCTTGCTGAGGGGCAGACCGAGTTTAAATCAGGTCTTGCATCTCTGTGGCTGACTAACTCTTACTCTGAAGAACATCCCGTTTGATGTTTCCCATATAAAGTCTGTTCCACGTGTCTGTGTTCAATTGAGCTGGACAGGAGAAAGGTGGGAAGTGGATCCTTCTCTTTCATTAATTGCTCTCTGATTAGCTTTGGTGAATTGGATTAGAGAGGTGTAAGGCAGTGAACGTTAAGAGCCTAGAGCTGGGTTTGGAGAAGCACTTGCCACTTGGTAAGTTTTTTATTCTTGTTATTACTTTATCTTTATGGTGCTTTGGGAGGAAAAAGTAATGGGTTCTATTTGCCATGGTGCTTACGGCCTCTGTGGTGGTTTGAGCAGCCCAATGGCACTATGTACATGCTGGAAACTCAGCTTGTCCTTAACTGCTTGCCTGGTTCAAGGCCATGGCACTCAGCATCTTGCAGGGCAGAACTCTTGGCCAGCATCTTGGGAAAGCTTTGCCTCTTGAGCTATCAGTGGTAGCCAGAAGTGTGAGCATTTTGTCCTGTGCCTCAGGGACGAGGATAAAGGGTCACATCACGCTTCAGTTTATAGCCCTGAGATGTTAGATGTGATGCTGTCTATTCTCCTGCAGACTGATACTGTGAGGGAAGTCGTTGTGTCAACAGCAACAAGAAGGGATCTGTTTGAAATCAATACTGGTTTAAAATGGAACTTGTCTTTCAGTTTCTGACACATTCAGCTTCAGAGGAGGAGGTGGAGAGGCTGGAGGTTCGTGTTGGGAGTCATGAAGGGGAGGCAGAGGACAAAAGCTATGAGTAGGGAAGCTTAGAGAACGGGATGGATCTGTCACTGACCCTGCCTGTTTTGTCTTGTACAGCAGGGATCTCCAGACAGTGGATGACTGCATTCTGTGAATACACAATGATGAGGCTCTGTGCAGTGAGCTATGATGATGTTCATCCTTATCTCTGAAAGCATTACTGTTATTTACCATTAGGGATCCCAGTCATGGGTCACAGCCCTGTGGTGCTAGATATACTTTAAACATGCATATATATATGCAGGAGTATTTAAATGCATATATATACACAGGGGTGTGTGTGTGTGTGTGTATGTGTGTATATATGTAAATGCGCATGCCCAAAAGAGCTTACTTTTTAGAGTAGAATTGCCCATTTCATTTTACTTCTGCAATTTAAAATTACTTGCTCTACAGTACAGCGTGGTGCTTTGTAGATGAACTCATTCAGAGATGCAGAGAATTCATAGCATCTGATGAAGCAGGCTATAGCCTACAAAAGCTCATGCATTTCTGAATGAGTTAGTCTGTAAGGGTGCCTAGACATGTGCACTGAGGCTGCTGCAGATTAACCGAGTCTGCTGGAGCGAGGTAATTACCGCACTCCAGCAGACTCCAGGGTCATGTGTATTAGTGTCTCCGCACTGAAAAATGGCGGTGGGTGTGCTTTAACTATACCTCGTTGGAGCTTTAGTTAAAGTGCCCCTGCTGCCATTTTTCAGCCAGGGATGCTGATACACATGACACTCTGGGCACTTTAATTAGAGTGCCTCAAGGAAATGCTCTAATTAAAGTGCCCCCTCCCCACCCCCGGCTTCCGGAGCACATGTATAGATACCCTAAGGTACCACCCTTCCTTGTCTCCTGGCCCCCCTTTCCACTAATATGACTAAGTATCTCTGCTCTTTATTTTACACCATAATGAGTGTCTGACCAAGTTATGGTTTTTTGAGCCCATGTTTGGAACTATTGCATGTATAGAAGCAGACCTACGGGGGGGAAATTTTAGAATTCACCTTTAGGAGATGGAGGTGACCCTTTCTCTTTCATTGTTTTGGGGAGAAGATGGGGAAGTGTTGTGATAAGTCTCATTGGCTACTGTCCACCTCATTTAACAGCCAGATACTTCTGTTGAATATCTGGAAACCTGATTGCTTTCTGTAGAGCTTAGCTTTCTGAGAGTCAAAGCTAGTACAAATAGCCACCTGTATTGTAGTAGCTGCACACCTCGCCATCTTTTCTATGCATTTATTTTCACAGCAGTCCTGTGACTTAAGGTGGTGATATTACTCCCGATTTACAGATGGGAAGAACCAAGGCACAGCTGGACTAAGGGGCTTGCTAGAAGTCATGCAGAGGTCTATGGCAGAACAGGGGACTGAACCCAGGTGTCCCAAGTGCTGGGCTGCTGCCCAAATCAGTAAGCCATTCTTCCTCTCTGAGCCCTGGGAGCTGCCCATTAATGATTTCTGAATACTCTGAGTTAACCTGGTTATTGGCTTGTTTGTTGTATGAATATACTGATGCAATTAAATAGGGGCTGTTGGAATAAAAATGCGGAGGAGGGAGAAAGACTGGCTTCAGATAAACCATTCCTCAGCAAACACTGGTGGGTTGTTTGTTAAGAGAGAATTCTAGGAAAGGAAAATGCCTGGGAACTGAAGAGATCAAAAGGACCATAGCAGGTTAATGAAGGAAGACATGCTCAGGTCAAGGGAACAGTTTTATCACAAGACCAGCCTGAGACACAATAATCCACTGCGGGTGCCTGAAAAAGGTATCCTATGAGGAGAGGCTGGGGGAACTGGGTTTATTTAGTCTGGAGAAGAGAAGACTGAGGGGAGGATTTAACAGCAGCCTTCTAGTACCTGCAGGGGGGTTGCAAAGAGGATGGAGCTAGACTGTGCTCGGTTGTGGCAGATGACAGAACAAGGAGCAATGGGCTCAAGCTGCAGCAGTTGAAGTTGAGGTTAGATATTAGGAAGAACTTTCTCACTAGGAGGATAGTAAAACACTGGAACAGGTGACCCAGAGAGGTCATGGAATATCCATCCTTGGAGGTTTTAAGACCCGGCTACACAAAGCATTGGCTGGGATGATCTAGCTGGGGCTGGTCTTGCTTGGAGCAGGGGGTTGGACTAGATGTGACCTCCTGAGGTCCCTTCAACGCTCGTTTTCTATGATTTTATGTTAGCTACCATAGGACAGTGAGGACCAGAAACATAGCCCAGGGCAGCCTCTCAGCACCTGGGGCAGTGCTGGTTGCAGCTATTTTTCCACCCCTTCCTCCTCCAACTGAGGCTGCTGCCCTGGTTGCCCCTTCCCTCAGTCACACTATTGGCGAGGGTCACCCTTTTTAGCAGGTGTGCCCAGATTAAGTCCCTCTGCAAGTGCCACTGCAGTCCCCTTTCCCAATCTGATCTGCAGCTCTGCTTTGCTCTCCCTGCCCTCTGTCTCGGTGCTGCCGGCCCTCTTCCTGATCTGCTGCATGTCACACCAAGGCTGCCAGTGCCACTTGTGGCATGTGGGGCACAAGTTGGCCACATTTGCCATAGGAGGGCAGTAAGAATTAGTAGGATAGATCTGTATGTAGACTGCTGTTTTAAATCCCTTTTCTCTAAATACTTTTAAAAAATGTTAAAATAAACAATACCCTCCGAGAGGTAAAGACACAAGACCCCAGACTCTAAGGAGATGCACTGGGAGAGACCAGGAAGGGGACAGAGGAACAGCCGGCCCCGTAACTATGACACTTGGTTGTGTTTGCAGATCATTGTCTCAGTAGATTATAATGGCTCCTTCAGAGCTGTTGCAGTCTGTTTTATTAATGGCTGCACATTAAGTCTATCAGGGGAATATCCAGTGACATTTTTGTCCAAGTAAATTACTGCATACTTACAGCAGCCAGTTTTAATGCTTCAGTATTTGTTTTTTTTCAGGATATCATAAAGTGATAATAAATAATGGCCTCATTTCTTGTGGAATTTTCATTTTTGTTAACTGTAAAAGCCTGGTGCTTATATAGCAGCACTCAGCATTTTCTGTCTGCAAAGCACTTTGCAAAAACATTACACTCATGGGGATGCAATCTCTTGGTTTCAGAATTTCAGAACTTAGCAAGCTCTTTACTTCTGTGTTCCTTCGGAGTACCTCTCAGAGCAAAAATTCCCA